TCCCTTCTACAGTATACTGTTTGTCTATAAGGATTTCCCCGTTTACTGTAATTTACATTGTAATAAAAAACCTGTCTGCAACGGAACTTCAAGTAACTCCATCAGGTTGCTTTCCGAAAGCAGATTAACTTATCAAAGAATTCGATCAGAGTGAGTTTTTTTGTTTCGTTGCCAATAGTTATAGTGTTTGATTTCTAGTTATGACTTATCCTTTGATTACTTCTCGCCTTTACTACATATTCGACCTACACCGCCTCGGATGGCTCGGTCATATTTTGTGTGTGCCTACTCATCGTCTACCTTTCCTTTCTTTGCACGTACTGGGCAAGTCTGAAAGAAATATTGCGCTGATCACACCCCTTCATCCAAATGGGCAGTCAAAAGACAGCAACCAAAACCAACGCAAGCAAGTGTATGGTTGTACAGATTAAACCGAACTGACCTGGCCTAGGGGTATGAAGTGAGCCTTAGCATTGGATTTGGTTAGCGCACCTCGCCCTCCAGGCTGGGGTTCAAGGGATAAAGATTGCTAATAGCTAGAGAAGCTGGAGAATATGGCTCGGAATATAAGTCACTGGTGCTATTGTAGTACGGGTGGTTTGTCGAAACACCGTTGCCCATAGTAGGCAAAAACGTCAAAATGTTTTGGGTGAGGCTAACAAAAACTTAATTTATTCATTTGGTTTTTCCGTTGTCCCTTAGTTATTTTGCCATTTTCATTTCATTTATCTACATTTAGTTCCACCATTTATGTTATCACTGTTGGTATGTCGGGACCATACTTGTCCTCAAGCTGATAGAATATATTAAATCTACCTAAGTACGTAAAACCTGGATTGTAATTCTTGGTTAACCGTTTGTACTGGTGTCTGCTTGGGGCAGTACACTACTAGTGTAAGTGCTGTGTTCTGATTGCCTAATAACATACACCCACTTTCGTTTGTTACACCAGATTTGTGCTCCGCCACTAGGATAGGGATCGAACATCTGCATTTTTGTATATCGCCTGCCGTTAACCGGTTACTTAGATCAGCTGCGTTATTACCATCGTTAGCTAACTCTACGATCCTGAAAGAAAAATCAAAAGGTGGAACAATAGGCATATATTCACCAAAATACGGAATGAATTTGTGGAAATAAATAAAACCGATCGTGTAAATTTGTCAAAAGTTCTTGACATGGCCTCAAATGTCTTGATCTTTCTTTGTAACCCTTGAATTATCGTCTGAACTGAAGCTCACAAAGACAACAAAGAAAATACTCCACCCCACTTGTGCTCATCTTTATGCATTCTCATTCATTTACCTTCGTCTAAGTTTGTGTGCATCTTGTCAGTTTTTCTGCAACATTAGTCCACTGAAATCCTTGATCCTACTTCTAACCTTTCCTGTCTTCCTCCTTATGTTCATCCAAATAGGCAGCCAAAAGACAACAACCAAAACCGGCGCACGATAGTGCATGGTTAATGGTTGTACAAACTGAACTGAACTGAACTTGTGCGAACACTAACACTTGCTTTATTAGACATGTATGTATGGTATAATATACGTATTGTGTGATATACGTGTATGATATGATGTGTATGTTACATTTATCTCGTTCTGTTTTAAACTCACATGTACTATCCCATTTGCCGCAGCTGATTTCTCTTCAAATGACGTTGCTCAAGATTTGCGGTATCTCGCAAAACGACGCGGACAGGATCGGTCTGTGGACCCAGTGTTTCCAAACTCTGGTAGGTGGTACAAGGAATAATATGTTTCACAATTGCCTTTGACCGATTTCGTTTCAAATGCACTATTTTGTATAACAAACAGCAGAATATATGAACCCCATAGTCTCTCGGGTCCATAGTTAACTCATGATGATCCGCAATCCAGGCCCCGGAACTTGGAGTGGTGGGCCCAGGAGACTCAAAAAGAATACGGTAGACGCTGTATTAAGCCGGATGGTAGCACATCTGTATTCTGACCACGTTGAGTGGTTGGTCTTGGAGTCCTGAGCACACAGGTGATGGGAATTCCCATCGCTTGATCACCATCGCCACGATACCTCCACACCTCTTTAAATTCCATACTCCGGTCGGTATTTCTTTCCTGTAAAACGACTAACCTTAGTCTCGTGATCACTAGTGGGACTCTCTTTGAAAACGCATTGATTGTTCATTCACGTTGTTCGTATTGCAATGTCTGCCGAGGCGGATAATGAACGGAGGGAAGTCAAGGGTGCTCATACGGAGACCTGACCGGAAAGTATGAAAACCTCGATCAGGAGAAGCAGTCATATGAGGTGCGTTAGGCTTCATGGAAATTATTATATCAATGCCGCTATTCGAACGCAAAGTAAAGGTGTTTATCTTTAATGAATTATTGTTGCTCCCTTTCCCCTTCATAACCATGCAGTTATGGAATCCAAAGGAATTCTTGCCTGTCTTGGAGCCATAGTCAAGTTCCTTGATGTGAGTTGCTTTCGATTGTATTCGTTTTAGGATATTCTTTTTCAGGTAATCAGGCACTTCATTTTTGATTTCGCTCATCAGGCTCACCAAAAGCCGCTTCTAGATGCATCGAAATTCCTTTTGATAATCTCATGGGTTTATTTTCTGTGTCCGCATCAATGCATATTATCAGCGAATTATAGTACTTATTCTACATGAATAATTAATTAATTCTGGTGGTCTAGTTGAGATTACTAGTATTGTTCAAAACAAAGCAAACCTCTGTTCACCATAAGGTTCCGTTCATTGCACTCAAATCACTGTTTCCAGCTGAAAGTTGGATAGTGAACAAACGACTTAGAATTGAAATCTATTGCGACTTGCAGTCAACCGTTTAAATGCAGTCTATACAGCAGTTTAGAGCTAGATTGCTTTAGCAGTTTGACCGCACCGAAGATCGAGCTGGAGACTATGGGTCTCTTATCCTTCGTTTTCTCAGAGACTAAAATATTATGTGCGAATAATACTATCTGTAGATGGAAGAATAATTTATAAAGTTCCATAATACAGCGATGATTCTGTATTTATTGATTGATTAATCCATTGTTATTACCAGAAGCATCATGCTTTTCCACCGGCCTAGTCGATCACTGACGTCGTGTATTAATCTATCTTCTAACCAGTTGAAAGCCGATGATTCGAATGCCGCTTCGTTCACAATCGAGTCCTTCAATATGGATAATTTTGTAAGATTGGACAGCGCCGCAACCCGTGCTTTGCACCTTTTGCCTGGTCCGGATGATAGTAAGTTTTTTGCTTTTAACTTGTTTCATTCTGATCTTGATGTTTTCAAGTGAATTATGCAAAAATCTATGCGTACCCAGATTCACTTTTCTAAACGTGTAGCACCAAATAGTGTATTCCTCATTGTCATCATCATTGTGCGGCACAGTACAGTGAAGCTAACTTCACTAGTCGTTGTCCAACTCATTATACTTACAAGTCAGAATGTGTAATCAGGATAGAGATAAAGTGTTTCGAGGAAAAGGAAAAAACGGAGCCCTATGGTCAACACAGAATACGCAATCCGACTGTGAATACCCATTTTCAAACATTTTGGTCTGATAAGAAAATTCTTAGTTGATGGCTGTAAAACTTGAAACTGACCACAAAGTCGCCACTGCTTTCAGTTTGATGCCATAACTTTCAGTGTTTCCAACCATTCATTGTCTTGGAACTTGTAACAAGATGACGCAATGAGCTTTTGCGACCAAATGTTACGCATTAAATCAGTAATGGAATCTACGAGGTCATTGCCTCTCATCTTGAAAAGAGTAAGAGGAACTCCGTCTGGTCCTGCTACTTTTTTCTTTTTCATTTTTACTTCCTTTCATTGAATATACAAAGATAAAAATTGCGGGAAGGAGAAGCAACCAATCAAAGTGGGTTGTCAGGGCTTTAATAATAGATTGTACTTTGCTTCAGTAGGAAGTTCATGTGATGCTGTCCACGGAGCCTCAGTTGCTGCAGACGAGCGCCTGGCCAGCTAAACTGTTCATTGAACTACTCCGGCCGCCGTAAAAGCTGTTCCCTACTGTGAACAACATGTCCATTTTTGTTGCAGATTGTTTCACTTACTGTGGTTCGTCGACGTCTGGTATTGTCTATCAGTTGGAACAGTCGTTGACTACGTCCATTTCATTGCCTATTGTTAACCACCAGTTTTCACGGTCTTCTTTGAGACTCTTTGTGAGCCGACGTTGCAAACACCACCTACCCTTGCTTTGATTGCGGTCGGTCGGCCTTTGCCGCTTTTTCTCCATCAGTGCTACTGATTCATCTGATATCCAGTGCCTCGAAGGGGCTTCATGTTTACATCCACAAGCAAAGTTCTCTGCAGAGTTCATTGCTCTTCTAAGACGATCCCATTGTTCATCTACACTAGAACGCTGCAGCGTGTTTAGCTCATGATCTAGTTCTTCATGGCGTGCACAAACGGCTGGGTCAGGTACGCGATGATTTACTAACCGAGTTTGGTTTTTTCTGCGAACTGAACTGTATAAGAACGAATGCGGGATCAGATTCAACGCAGATGGTCCGATAGAAACTGCGCTTTTGTATTGAGCCACGCCAACGGTAGCTCACTGCTGTGGTGGACCTGAGTTAGCGTACCAGTTGAATTGGAGCGCCACGTTGCTGTCCGTCGAGAGCTGTGTTGGAAGTAGGAACAGATGATGATCTGCACCAAACTGGAGAAGGGCGGAGCACAACGACCGCCTAGGCAAGTTTACAAGGAGCTCAGTTTTCCAACCTGCGCGTTAAAGTCATCTGCCTGCCCAATTGATCGTCTATATCGGAGTTTCGGCTCGACCGAATGAGTTCGCTCGATGCAATGCCCATCGCGGTCCTGATTATTCGGCGCGACAACCGATGCAGTATAGAATTGTTTGGTTTGTGTTTGCTTTGGATTTTGTATTGCGTTTGTCGGCCTCAATGCATTAAATACGGTCTCACTCCATCTGCTTTGAGTGTGCGCTACAAACCTGCTTTCGAAGCTGACATTTTGTCGTAAATTAGTGCGATCATTTGCCGAAGAAAACTTCTTGCGGAATCTATTTAATGCGAGGAATTCTAGCGCAAAAAGAAAGCAGAAATCGGGAGGTGAGGGCAGGGGTTCCACAATCTCTTAAGGTCTCACTACCTGGCATATGGATCCAAAAAGTAGCTCATCGAGGGTAGTGGACATGATCACGAAATTTAAGGAGAGGAGAAAACATTTACATAACTGGAATCAGTCATACTTCTAACGCAGAATACCAGTTTGCGAGGCTATGTGCAATTCGTAAGTTCGGCGGTACATTTCATTCACTCACTCGTCTTGATTGATGAGCAATGCAACTTTACCTTCATTAATATTTACCTCCAACCAAAACTCACTAGCATATTCCACTCCAAGAATAATGCCAGGTTACTACGAGTTTCCAAACCCAGACGTGAATTATTATTATTATTGTCATCTCAAGACGTACTGAGCCTTTTGATCTGCCCGGTTTTCGTTCATTTCCAAGATCGGAGGTCTGATCTTAGTTTTGTAGTTGGTTTAGATCCTAACTGAAGGTTGGCCTAACTGTT